ATTTTGTACGTAAATTTCCCTGTTTTATATCTGAAATAATGTTCTTATGTCATCACAGTTCTGATGCTTAATGTAGGTGTTTTTCTGTTCATTATTGTTTCCAGATATATAGGCTCAGAATAAGTTCCTCACAATAAATATGATTTTCTTCAAGATCTGCAAACTTTCATTTAATACAGACATAGTGAGTGAATTGGGGTGTATCATGTGATTATTCCATATGTTTTGAACTACAGTTTCAATTAACTGTCTGCTCATAGTCATGTGCTACTGAAAACTACCACAAACCCACAGATTTGTAACTATACTGGTTAGGTAACATTTTCTTCCAATATGTTTGCAGAAGAGGAAGCAAAACTACTGGAGAAAAAGATAAGGATAGCTAAAAGAGTCATGGTGGAAAATTATGGAGATTTGCTGTTGTAGGCTTTTGCAAATACATTGATTATTTGGTTTTAATTGTTAATTTGTGACATTGGTGTTAATTTATGACATTTGCCTTAATTCTGTAATTCTGGTGATTCAAATTAAAGCAATCAGAATTGTGAAATCAAAAGAGCTAAGGATCAACTTGGATGTTGGATAAAATGTTAGTGTTTACAATTCAACTTTGCGCTAATGCACAGGTGTCAAACAATCATGTCAGCTGACATATCGTGACATTTTTTGCCTTTGCGGAGCCAGGGTGGGCGTGGGCTGCATGTGACTCATCTGGTCCATTGACCACCAGTTTGGCAGGTCTTCTTCGTGGAATTTTTATAATATGACAGAACTGCCTTCTGTACTTGCAACCCACAAAGGTTTTCAAATTCTGCTCAGCTTAATACTATAATAGGGACTTTGGGGCAGCATTTGAGGATGTATAATTTATTCCTCTGCTTCAATTAGCAGATATGCCTCCATTTTCCACAATGGATATGCTACATCCACACATTTTCCATAAAAGGAATTGAGTTTAAATGTGTAGATGTAGCACATGTCTGCTTTCTTGCAGATAACTCTCTTCTGCACAAGAAAACTAAGAAAACCAGTCATTTAATTAGTTCTTTATTGTGGTCATTGACCAGAATTCTGCAAATTAACAGAATAAACTGCTTTTTTAAATTAAAAAATAAACCACACAAATCAATTCTCCCTGATTTAAAACTAATCAATAGGAAAGGCATAGTTGAGGAAATCAGTAGTAGAAATTTACAACGTCATGCTGAAACAAAACTGCATAATTAAACATTTGGACTTCAAAAGTAAATGTTAATAAACAGGGTAATTTAGGGGCTATAAACCTACTTTTCTAAAGAGAAATTGAAAGTTGTGCATACTTAGTTTTGAGAAAAAAATGCCTGAGCAAATATTAGTATATTTCAAACATCTGAATGGTTATCATTTAGAAGATCAAGTTTTTTTCATTTCAGAATGCAAGATGACAATTTGTATATCTATATGTATATATAAGCTACATGATGCCTATAGAACTGTGCTTCTCAACCTGTGGTCCATGGATCCCCAGGGAGGCACAATGTCATAGGGGGTCCACGAAGCTTTGAAGAAATGTTAAGACTGAAATCTTGAATTAAGTCTTGGTGGTCTGTGGCCATGATCTGTGGCTACAAAAGGTATTTAAAGGAGGTCTGTGGTGGAGAAAACATTGAGAACCACTGCTATAGAATATTAGAAAAGTACACACAACCCAGCAATAATAACAATTCAACTGTGCACCCAATTATCCATACTGGTGGTAGCCAACATTTGTTAAGATATCTACAAGCAACATTGAAACAAGATGCTTTATCTGGGTTCCTACATTGAGAAGGATATGGGTCTACATAGTCTAAATGAGTCCTTCCAACTTGTATGATTCTAGAATTTTGTTGAATCTCATTCTACATCCCATTTGTAGCTTATTCAAATTTGAAGGTAAGATAATTATGATCCAGTTACTATTTCTTTCATATTTCAGAGTTCAGGTTCAGTGATTAGGGTTGATAAATGTTACAGCTGATTATTATAAATGTTCTTTAAATTAAAACTAAGAGCTAACGATTGAGCTACACTCTTCTCAGTAACATATAGTTATTATTTTTTTCAAGAGGCAACTGGACTTTCTGGTTTTTCTTTGAAGACATTTCGCTTCTCATCCAGGAAGCTTCTTCAGTGAGGATGACTGAGAATCTCCATAGACATATATTTAAAAGTTTGTATGCCGGGTTCAAAATTTTTCCACAGAATATGAACTTTTAAAAAGTAACAAAAATTATACAGGGAAGTGGTATTTGGAAAACATTTTTTTACATAATGGTTTTATAAGATATGAGTAGATCTCGGTCATTCCTATCCTACATGCAGCATTCCTTGCTAAATGGTCAGAATGTATGTGAATTTTAGAATATTTGCATTATAGTAATATGAAATGGAAATCTGCTTGCTGAATACAATAATAATCACATTGGAAGTACCTTGTATTTAATAAGGATGGAAAATAGATGATTAATGTTATGTGAATTGTGCCTGGTTTTATGATCATTTTTGCCACTGTTCTTAAGCAAATCACTGCTTAACTGAATCATCTGATCATTAAAGGAATCCAGTTTCCTCCATTGACTTCGTTTGTTGGAAGTTGACTGGGAAGATTGCAAATGATGACATGAACCCAGGATGCTACAATGGTTGTAGGTGTGAGGACTGGTTGTATCACTTTTTTGTAGTGCCATTGTAACTTCAGTCATTAACTAAATGGTTGAAAGTCGAGGTCTATCTGTACTGTACAGATGTGTAAGGTATTCTTCCAAAAATTATGAATAGGCAAATTCCAGAGGAATATTGATCTTCCATTAGTCTAGTCCTATAGATACATTTTTTTTATCTGTTGAGCACAGGTGCAACATTTTCTCTGCAACTGATTGCTTTATACAAGCACTACTATTCAATAGAACTGTAGTGAGAACACCAAAGTAACATGTTTTATGTAATTTATTTCTTCACAGTACATAACTGCTTCTAGAGCAGTGTGTCTTATTTGGAAAATGTCCCAGATAAATAACGCTGGATGAAAGATAGTTGGGCAACTAATAACTCTGCCAGTGTTAGCCATGCTTCTGACTGTTATACTTTCACTAGTCTCTCTCCACATCCACTTAGTTAATCCAGATCTGCTATTAAGTCAGACAATAGAAGCAAAATAAATCTTCATTCATCATCTGGAGTAAAAAATGGTGTCAGAGAGTGCTGGAGTTATAGGTAGTCCTCAACTTACAACAGTTCATTTAGTGTCTGTTCAATGTTACAATGGCACTGAAAAAACTGACTTATGACAGTTTTTCACATTTAAGACCATTGCAGCATCGCCATAGTCATGTGATCAAAATTCAGATGCTTGGCAACTTACTCATGACTGTTGCAAGTGTCCATGTGAACACCATTTGCCACTGTTGGAACAAAAATCCGGTCCAGTTCCAAGCCAGGAGAAAGGTGCTAGAAATAAAATGGAGGATGGCTGGCTGCAAGGAAAGGTTTATTTGGATTGCAGAAACTTCATTGACAGAAACTTGTTACTGGGATGGCTGACCCCTGGGCTATAGATGGATTTTTATAGGACTCTGCTTTGGGGGTTGTGCAATGTAGTGAGCCTTGTGTCTTTTGCTATTCTAATGGCAGTGGGTTAATCTTATTATGTCCTAAAGATCACATCCTGTTCTGGGTGGAATATGTAAATTTTAATCCCATCAGCTGGATCTGAAGGTGCTTTGTTTGTGAATAGTTTGGTTCAGTCTTCCTGAATGGGCACAAAATATCCATCTCTAAAGATTTCAGGCATCTGCTGGAGGCTGTTTAACTATGCAGGAAATTGGGGCTGCTTTCTGCCTTTAAGTAAGAGCATGTTTCTCCATTTCTCCTTTTAGGAAATATAATATTCTGCCTCTTTTAATATTAATAAAGAATATTTTAATCTGAGGTGGTGGGGGGCTTCCTACACCACCTTCTGACAAGCACAGCAAACAGAGGAGCCAAATTCACTTAACAACCAAATCACTAATTTAACAACTGCAGTGATTGTCAACAGTGGTGTCCCCCAAGGCAGTGTTCTAGGACCAACTCTCTTCATACTCTACATAAATGACCACTGTGATCATATTAAGAACAACTGTGTTCTCTTCGCTGATGATGTAAACCTCTTCAACACCACCGACAATATTGCTACTCTTCAAAAAGACCTCGACTATGTATCAGTGCTGTCTTACATATTGGCAAAAAATAATAATAATCAGAAAATAAAATACAAGCTGACTAGTCAAGACCTTGTTGATGATCCAAACTCTGTCAAGGACTTTGGAGTACTCATCTCTAATGATCTAAGTGCTAAAGCCCACTGTAACTACATAGCAAAAAGGCATTAAGAGTTGTTAACCTAATCCTATGTAGCTTTTTCCCTGGTAATACCACACTACTAACTAGGGCATACAAAACATTTGCCAGACCAATACTCGAATACAGCTCATCAGTCTGAAACCCACATTATGTATCTGATATTAACACAGTTGAGAAAGTCCAGAAATATTTCACAAGAAGAGTTCTACACTCCTCTATTCCTTGCAGAATACCTTATGCCAGCAGACTTGAAATTCTAGACCTAGAAAACCTAGAATTACGCTGTCTTCGGTCTGATCTAAGTATCGTACATAAAATCATACATTGCAATGTCCTATCTGTCAATGAATACTTCAGCTTCAACCATAACAATACACGAGCACACAATAGATACAAACTCAAGGTAAACTGCACCAAACTTGATTGCAGGAAATACAACTTCAGCAACAGAGTGGTCAATGTCTGGAATTCTCTACCTGACTCTGTGGTTTCTTCCCCAAACCCCAAAAACTTTAACCTTAGACTGTCTACTATTGACCTCACCCCTTTCCTAAGAGGTCTGTAGGGGGGCGTGCATAAGCGCACCAAAGTGCCTACCGTCCTTGTCCTATTTCTTTTTATTTTTTCTATATGTGAGCAAATTAGCGTGGCGAGGGGTGACGGGGCACTATGGCATGGAGAGCAGGGAAGAAAGACTACCTAGCTACACTGAACACCAAAGCTACAAAAAAAGGAAAAGATTTCTCTCAATGAAATTGCATGCACTAGGATTTACTTGCACATTATTCCCAAGTTTTATGAAGACTAAGTACCTGGTTGGTGAAGAGCTGAATGTGCAGAGAAGAAATTTCATACTGCGACTTGGATTGCTGCCATCACTGTGACATCCTGTTCCCCAGGCATCATGTACTGTCTCCAGTGCTTACTGCCCATCCTCCTCATTCCCAAACCCCTCCACCCAGCCTTGTGGTTCAGTCACTCAATGTTCATGGGCTTCTACCTTCTGAGTTTCTTGTTGGAGCAGAAACCTTGCACAATCTGTGCCTTGGTCTTCTTGGCCGCTCTGTTTCTCATCTGCTACAGCTGCTGGGGGAATTGTTTCTTATACCACTGCTTTGGTTCCCAACTGCTGGACTCTGCTGATGATCCCAATGTAGTTGACACCTAAAATCTTCTACTTGGTTGCACTTTTTTTTTCCTTTTAAAAGGACGCTATCATGGGAAGGAGGGAATATAAGGCATGCGATTGGAGTACATGTTTTGGTTAAAATGTTTCATTCATGATTATCCACACTTCCACAATCTTCCTGTACAATTTGACAAAAGTTGTTATTAGTAATAGCTGGCAATACTGTCTGTTCGAGGGTTTGAAGCAGAGCTGCTAATGGGTGCCATCCCTTCCTTTGGTATTATCATTTGAGTTTGGTCCTTCCCAGTGGTGGTATTCAAAAAATTTTTACTACCAGTTCTGTGGGTGTGGCTTGGTGGGCGTGGCAGGGGAAAGGATACTGTAAAATCCCCATTCCCTTCCCACCCCACTAATCTGCTTTCCAGCTCCGTTCTCCTGTGCAGGGCAACCAAAGAAGACCCAGCTGATCAGCTGGGACTTGGGAGGCAGAGAAGAGAGGGGGACGGGGCCAGTCAGAGGCGGTATTCCGAACTACTCAAAATTTCCATTATTGGTTTTCCAAACTACTCAACATTTCCGCTACCGGTTCTCCAGAACCTGTCAGAACTGGCTGAATACCACCTCTGGTCCTTCCATTTCCAATTTGGTGGTGAAGAGATCTGTTGAGTGTTGTCTAAAGTCAAATGAGAAGGCAGCTATCCATCCTTTGGAACATGAATGTCTGATCTTTGTTGAAACAGTTGCAAAGCTGTTTTGCCATCTTGAGTTCGGTAGAAAGCTAGTCCTTCTCATGGTATTCATCTGAAGGGGAACTATCAAGTGGTTAATAAGCCTGACAGCACCTGGAGCCAGAGGCTGCTTATTATCTCAGCAGGCCATCCTGGAACATGTATACTGCCCCTTTCCCAAACTACTTCATCTATGTCATAGCTCAAAAATTCCAAAATCATCACGATGCCATTTTTAATGCACAAATGCAGAAGCTTGTCTCTCTCTCTCTCTCTCTCTTTATCCCAAACATCTCTACCAAACATCTACTTTTTATGGAGGACCCTGAATTGGAAAGAAAGCATGCACTGCTGTAAAGCTTGGGGAATCTTGTTTTTTATTGTATTGCTTTTGAATTTTAAGCTGCCAGTGTTTCATTTCATCGAGTCATAACTATGTTTATACTGATATCTGTTATCTTATAATCGCTTAACAAAATAAATAAATAAATTTAACAACTGTGACAAGAAAGATCAAAAAATGGGGCAAAATTAACTTAGCAACAGAAATGTTGGGCTCAAGTATGGTCGTAAGCCAAGAACTACCTATACTGGTCTCAAGGCATGCTTACGAACTGGCAGCGCGAGTGATTCGTGGTAACTGTGACCGGGCACCACCTCTCTCTTCTATGGAGAGGAGAGCGATGCAAGGCGGCCAGCAATCCTAATTCCACGTAATCTAAATTTGTCAAGGAAAAAGCTGGCGTCCTTTTCCTCAGCTTGCAAAGCTTCCGCTCCAAGGCGGTCGGTCGTCCTTTGCGCCACAGCCTCGGAGGTAAAAGTGTGTCTGGATGGTTAAAGTCCTTGGCGCGAACAAGGCCGCTCCGCCTGCCGAGGCTTGAGCGAGGGGACGACGAGGGCGTCCTTTACTACACGGGGACTGTTTTGTCGCAAGGAGCTGAAGCAAGAAGAGCGTTTGGGAGACCAACCTTCGGTCTGTGGAGGAGGGGAGGGGAGAGCGTTGCTTCCTCAGATTCAGAGTATGCGTGTAGAGCTTCTCAGCCATCCCAGGTCATGGTTGTCCCCAATATGCTTTTTCAAGAGGCAACTGGGCTTTCTAGTTTTTCTTTGAAGACATTTCGCTTCTCGTCCAAGAAGCTTCTTCTGGGGAGAAGCAAAAAAAAGAAAAACAGAGAGCCCAGTTGCCTCTTGAAAAAGCACCTTTGGGACAGATTCGGAGTAATTTTCCGGCAAATCGGTACATTCGCAAGGGTTGCCCACAGAAAGGCTTGTTTGGTCTATGTGCACTAGCGACGCGCTTCCGTGTGTTATACACTCGGTCGGATCTTCAGAGGTGGAGAGGAAAAAAAAATGAAGGCATCACTAGAGGGCAGGAGAGAGATTTTTTTTTTAAAAAAAACCCCACGAATCCATCTAGCGGCTGTCCTGATATTATTTTTGATTTTTTTGCAGGTCTGATGTGGGAACCCCGCTTTGGGGGGGAAAGTGGATCATCACGAAGAACTCGTGTGAAGAAGCCAGTTTTTTAAGCTTGGAACCAGCACAGAGTTGATAGAAGTAGAATCGGAGGTCGGTCTGATGTGGCGTTCACAAATGGACCGATCTGGAATGCTGCATCTTGGCAAGCGGGAGGGGAACCTTGATCCTCCGGCTTGCTGGGACTGGTATCGTACTGGAGAGAAAGCTAACCCTCTCGTAACTGTGACATTATTGAAAGAAAGGCAGTGTCCTTAGCAATAGGGATCTTTTAAATACAGAGGCGTCATCCACTCCACTTCCCGCTCGCTCCCGAGCACCGTCGCAGAAATGAAGGCAACTTCCCCCTCCTCGCCAGCCCCACCGCCGTTCGATTCAAGGGGCGTGCCTGAGAATTCGAAGTCCTCTGTTTTACGCGAGGCGGGGCTTGCTGCGTGATGACGTAACGCGCTGCGCGGTGAGGTCAGCGTAGTGCCGCTGTTGCTGGTCCCGCTGCCCGTCGCTCGGTCTGCTTTAATCGGGTTTTTTTTTTTTTTTGGATCCTCGACCCTCCAAGAGGAGTGTGGAGCTTTGTCTGTGGCCGGGGCTATACGGTATTTGCTCCGATAACAAGATCGGTGGCAACACAGCCTGCTGCGGCTTATCGTTTGGTATCAGGTAAGAGCTGGGCCGGGCCGGGAGAGGCTGCGGAGGTTGGTATTCTCCTTGGGTAATTACGTTGCCTTGCCGGCGTAACCCGCATTGCGTAATGTGACCGTTGCGTCAGGCGGATTACGTATTTTGCGCCGGGGCCTATTGCGCAAAGGTCTTTTGAATCTGCGCCGTTTGGTGATGGGGCTTTTCCTACGATTTTCCGAGAGTGAAAGGAGCATTTTCTCTGTCTGTTTTTATGCATATTTCGCAGTTACCGGACACACTGTATGCGGGGGCGATTGCGTGGTAGTTGATTTGATATTTTGCACGGTTACGCGGATTGCGGTAGGCGCTGAAGAGGGCTTGGAGAGGTTGCGGAGTTTGCGTAAGAGCGTCGTCGTTTTCCCCCTGTAGGATACGCGATTATCGTAAGCGTGTCTGTGTCCTCAGCGCGTACCGCTAGGAAGTCGGACTCCGTTTCCAGAGCGCTTCCCGCCTTTGCCGGCTGATCCGGATGGCTGCGCGCCGGGGTAGATCTCCGTCCGTGCGCCGAAAGAGAGGAGACTCGGCGCCTGGGAATCCAGTCTAGTGCGCGGGTGGCGCAGTGAGGGAGCCTGGGCGGGGCGGGTGCTGATGATACTTCCTGCCGCCGCCATTTTGTCGTCGAGCAGGAGGGGGAAGCGGCGGTGGTGGTAGCGGCTGCGGCCCGGGCCTGGAGGGCAGCCGGCTGGTAGGCAGCGATAGTTGGTGGAAGGGGAACGGGAAGGCTGGCTGGCTGTGGAGGAAGGAGCGCCTCTGGGCCGCTCCGCCTTTCGCGCCGTTCCCGCCTGCTAACGGCGGCGGTGGTTCCCGCAGGCCCGGCCTGGCGCTGCTCCACTCCTAGCGCCGCCCCCACCTGGCATTTCAGGAGAGCTCGGGGTTGTGTGCCTGCCTTGGCCCGCAGAGACTCCCCGAGAGCGGAGGCTTTTGCTGCCTGGCCTTGGGTGCCTTTCTTGGCTCCCAGAGCACAGCGTTTCTCGTGTTTTGTAACCTGACCGGGAAGGCTGAAGTGGCGCGGGGAGCGGCATCCTGACTAGCCATGCCGCAGTTGGCGTCCGTGTCGAGCTCGGTAGTAGCTTGTGACCGGATGGTCCGCGCTGCCGGCCGTTGACCTCTTAACGGCTCCTTTTAAAACTCAATTGCCTCCCTTGTGATTCTCCTGAACTTTCACTTCCCTTCAAATGTTCTCTTTACACGTTACCGTTCTCTCTTTCCCCGTCCTTTTCCCATGCGGTCAAATAAAAGGCTTAGCACTAGGCGAAAAGTTCCGTGTGGTCTTAAATGTAAGCATGGATTGCAATCCAAGTATTTGTTTAGAAAAAGCAGAAGGAACGATTGCATCTTGCTATTTAATTTCTAAAGGATACCTTTCCTACTAGGTCTTTCAAAAGAAAACTTCCATGAATGCAATTCATCGATCGATGAATGGGATTCTTAATATGCTGTCTCACCTTCGACAGCAGTTTCAGAACGTGAAAACTTCCCATTTAAATAAGTCAGAGATAACTGTCACTCATTCTTGTATAAATAGTTACCTGGATAAGTGAAAAATCATTTTATCTAACATATCACTGGATTCTGTAAACTGCATAATGCTTACTATGCTATGGCACAATCAGTTCCTGTTTGTGTTTAATTTAGAGTTATGTTGCAGGTTAGGTGGCTAATAAAATTTACAATATCAAAGATTTTGTTCGGTATTATTAATCAGTCTCTTAACCTAAACTGACAGGTTGGTTTGGAGTAAACTGTTTTTATCTTGTAAGTAACAAAATAAAACTTTGACATCCTGGTCAATTATCAAAGTGATTCAGTCATATATATTTTTGTATTCCAATCACTCAAGCTTTCACTGGTTATAGATATAGTTATATTGACTAACCAGGTATCTCCCTGGCCATGCAGTTACTCACCTTGTATGAAAATAGTTAATTTAATTTTTTCATCTTGATTCTTAGTGTACATTATATATGTAAACATGTTTGCAACTTATTTAGAAGATTTTTAAAAACAGACAAGCTCTTGAAGTAAATATTTATTTGTATTTCTCCTTTCTCAATTTCATCATCCCTAGTAGAGATAGTAGAGATTAAAGAGTCTTAGTATAGATGACAGCAAGCTAATTTATCTGATACGGTAGTTTGTATGCTATATTGAAGGGTAAATAGTTGTTGATTACTAAAAAAGAAGCTGCTACTCAAAAGGAAAAACTATTTTGATGAAAAAAAATAATTCCATTATGAAGTGTTTAGATAGTGCAGTTGTGCATAATTGCAAAATATAAACGATTAAAATAGTCACCAGAAGCTTTTATGATTGGCAGAGTTAACAATTACAATTTTGCTTGTCATACATGAAATTTTCCATTTTCATTGCCTGCAACATAGGCTATCCCTTCTCTAGGATTTCAGTAAATCATT